TACGACGCACAAATGAAGCTAGAAGCCTCTCTACAACGTCAACAGCTAGCGCACGCAACACAACGCAATGGCGAAAACACGGAGAGCCTGGGCGCTTCTGTCCACATGGCGTCTGCGCATCTGCAGCCTTCCGGCCGTGTTGGTAAACAGAGCCGCGCCGCGTGTCGGTCTTTATCTGCCAAGCAAATGGTGCACGGCACGCGCCGGACACCGGGCGCAGGTGATATAGAGTTTTGCAGCATAACTGCAAGATTTTCTTGCCGTCTGGAGAATGGGTCTGAATAAACCCACCTAAAATAATCGAAGCCTGCGCATTAGAATTTTGATGGCCGCACAGTGAGATCGAGCCCAGACACAGCTTGAACATTAGCGCAGCGTCGACGCTCGGATGGAAGTCGTGTCTAGTCAACGCGTCGGGCTCGGGCCCATTTGGTGAGTTGGCCCCAGGCGAGTATGGGGACATAATGTCGAAGAAGGTGAAATTGTTCACAGGCCTGACTAAGACGATGAGACGATGCGTGTATGACGTAGTGATGCCGTGACAACGCCCTATGCCTCAACGCCGCGTAGCTCCCTTTCACTTTCGATGAGACGACGTAGTAATGCCGTGACAACGCGCCATGCTCAACGCCGCGCGCCTCCCCTTCACTTTCGATGAAACGACGTAGTAATGCCGTGACAACGCGCCATGCCTCAATGCCGCGCGCCTCCCTTTCACTTTCAAAACCGATGCAGCGAGCAAGCGCAGCGAGCTATCCGAGCAGAGTGACCCAGTGTTCAAAACCAGATTGCTTTCCATGTCATTTAAGAAAAGTGAAGAGTGCACGTGTACAATTTCGAACCGCGCTCAAGCTGCGCGAGTGCACGGACGCAAAATCTTTGGCCACATATCTTTTAGTATTTAGATGATTGCAAGCAGGGCCGCCGCCATGCCTCTGCGCGTGTGGGCAAGCACAAGCGATAGCGAGCCTCTCAGGGCCATGTTCGCGTATCATGTGTCTATGTATCGTTGCACCTGTTCCCCAATATTGTTGTGGACGCCGCTATCTTGGAGCGTGTACAGAATAGACGCAACTGCCAATCGTCATGATTCAGAAGTGAGACTTCCTCAGCGTTAGATTCGGCGCTATAGGAAGCTGATATAATATTGCTTTTCTCTGTCGCGAACTGCTAAAACGTTTGTGGAAGACGGAAGAGCGTTTCTTGTAATTTCAGATAGCTGACTACCTTGATTTTAAGTCAAAAGATGCGTAAGCGTCGTTACTCTGAAGCGTAGCTTGTTTGGTAGCAGTAGGCAAAATTGGTGCCACTAAATATGCTACGCTTCTGAGTAACGGCACTTACCCATCTTGGTGCTTCAAATCATGGTTGCCAGTTATTTGAAGCTTTATTTGAAATCAAGTTAAACGCTTTTCCGCCCTCCTCAAATGTTTATGCAGTACCGATAGAACAAAGCTATATCACATGAGCTTCGTAACACCGAATCTAATTCTGAGAAAGTCGCACTTTGAATCATGACTATCGGCAGTTGCGTCTGCTCTGCGCAAGCACCAAGGTGGCGGCACCCCCAATAATATAAAAAAACAGAGTTCGGATAGCCTAAGCATAGCTCATTTATACCCTTGTTACACGGACACACTTAACTGCAGCAACGCTAAGCCTCAGTTAGCGCACAACCCTTGCCGACAACATTCTGCGGCTACGCCCCCAAAGCTATAGCGAACGTGCGCTTGAGCATTTTGATCATCCATCGAAGCAGTGCACGCGCGCTCTTCAGTTTTTATGGAATAGCTGTCCGAGAGTATAGTGCAGTATCTGTGGTGTCGCGTAACAGCAGTTAAGCTGAGTTAACCGCGGTTAAGTGTGCCCATGTAATACCCCTGTTACACGGGCACACTTAACCGAGGTTAACTCAGCTCAACTACTGTTGCGCGGCACCACAGATACCGCGCTATACTCTCGGACAGCTACTCCATAAAAACTGAAGAGCGCGCGTGCACTGCTTCGATAGATGCTCAACATGCTCAAGGGCACGTTCGCCCATAGCTTTGACTACATAGACGCAGAATGTTGTCGGCAAATATTGTGCGCTAACTGTGACTTAGCGTAACTGCAGTTAAGTGTGCCCGTGGAACAAGGCTATTACAGGGGTATTAGTGGCTCTATACACTGTTCCACCTTGTGTTGTACCGCAGGAAAGGCTACAAGCGCGAGCTCCTTGCTCTAGGACATATCTCGGCGGTACAAGCTCTCGTGCACCAAGGGCAGCTGCCAACGCTATGAGCTCGCGCTTCTAGCCTTCGCTGCGGTACAACATAAAGTGAAACGGAGTATAGGCAAAACCGACCTCGGCGGTGTCAAGGAAAGGACCCGTGCCACGAGTCACCGTTCGTGCAGGCTCGCGAAAACAGAAACAACAACAAATTCTCTGGTTTGGGCCATTTAGGGGCATTTGGTGCTTGTGTCGCCATCTTGTTGAACCCATTGAAAATAAACCTAGCGAAAACTTCCCCGTCAAATTTATTTTAAATACGCAAATACCAAGACATTGAGGCTTCCCATCAGTATCTTAAAGGGGCCCTCCGGAGCGTTCTGCGATGGTCTATTTATGGCGATAACTCAATATACAAGCCCTAAGGATCCTAAAATAAAAAAAATTATGGTCAGGCGAAGCGAATTTCCCTATTAAAATTGCTATCAAAGTCCCCGGCACGCCCCCCTTTCTGAGATGACTCCGGAAAACGGGAGGGGCATCTTTTTACGCGTCAGCCAATAGCAAGCGAAGGAATCCGGCGTCACTGCGTGTCACCAACGCGGCCGACCGCCGACCCGCGGAGGAATCTCTCCGGACTTTGTGCTCGGCAGTCGTCGTTCGTCGCAACGCACCGTCGTGCTGCTACTGCAATACGCAGTCGCATTCCACAGATGACAAGAAAAAGTTTGACTCGTTGACGTGGAAGGATCGCAAAGCTGGCTTCGGAGTCGGGATCCACGGGAAGAAGGAACACGTGTCCCACAAACGCACGCCTGCAGACGCCCCGGGAAGCAGACGAGCCGACGCGCCGACGTATCACCCCCTAGAACAAGCTTGCGGGGAGAAAACATAGTTCGCTGGTTTTGGAGCGATAATTGCGGACTATGTTTCCCGCACCACAATCAGTTAACGTTTTTCTCAAACTCTAATGTACAACAAGCTTAAAAAGTGTTGCAAGAATAACGCTCGCATTCACCGCGAGATGCAGCATTTCCATTGGTCAAGTTTTAGCGATGGGCAGGGAATGGGGGATTGTCTTCCAAGACAAAATAGTCCCGATATATTTCTTCTGCCATCTGCTTAATAAACGGTTTTGTGATGTAAAACTTTGCACATGTATTAACTTGCACCTACTACGCAATATAACAACATAAACAGACGATCGCAGAAAGCTCCGGAGGGCCCCTTTAAGATTAGGATAGGAGACACTGCTAGTATGTACTACCCTTTGTTTTCTCACATTTATCATCTAAGTAAATTTAATTTCAAAATTGCCTCACAATGCGCATTTGCCTCGCAATGCGCATTTGCCGTCACAATGCTACATTGCCCATTGAGTGACGAGCGGGTGAATCCACCTTAAAGGTGCCTTGAGAAGGTTTCTGAGATCGCTTAACATAGTGATAACTCACTTCGCGCTCTCTAAGCACCCAAAAAATTCATAAGTCATAATGATGCAAGCCCCATTTCTCTATTAAATAAAAAATTGAAGATATATCCCACCGAGGTCATCTCCAGCGATGGGAGGAGCATTGTTTCGGCAGTCAGAACGATGACCATTGAAAACGCGAATTTTGTTGAGATTGCAAACGCTGTTATTAAGAGATGCGTATGCTTTTGTAGATGATAAACGCAAAGAAGAATAGTCGAAAAATGTTATTTTTCGCGGAGAGGGGGCGTTATACTGACATAATCGTCTCAAAAGCAGCGCACTGTTGTTGTTGTTGTTGTGGCTTTTGTTGTGGTTGTTGTTGTTGTTGTTGTTGTTGTTGCGGTTGTTGTTGTTGTTGTTGTTGTTGTGGTTGTGATTGTGGTTGTTGTTGTGGTTGTGATTGCGGTTGTTGTGATTGTGGTTGTGATTGTTGTAGTGGTTGTGGTTGTTGTAGTTGGGGTTGTTGTGGTTGCGGCTGTTGTTGTTGTTACGATTGTTGTTGTTGTTGTTGTGGTTGTTGTTGTGGTTGTGATTGCGGTTGTGTTTGTGGTTGTTGTGGTTGTGGTTGTGTTTGTGTGGTTGTTGTTGTTGTGGTTGTTGTCGTCGTGGTTGTTGTTGTTGTGGTTGTCGTTGTGGTTGTTGTTGCGGTTGTTGTTGCTCTGGTTGTTGTTGTTGTATTTTCTGTCTTTCGTGGAAGTGATCTGTCCGGTCGTCAACTCTCGAAAGCTTGCTCGCTGGATTGAGTCGTAGTCTGGGCTACATGGGCAACGAGCCACGCGCATTAGAGATATCACTCTGCAGTCCCAGCGATTGGAGGTGGGAGGCTCCTTTGCTTCCTACTGGCTGACAGTGGTCCTGGTTTCGGAACGTGCTCCTCCCATCGCCGCAGATAACCTCCGTGTGTTGCGATCTTTGATTGCTTTCAATAGGGAAATCGGCCCCGTATCGTCATGATTTAAAAATTTTTAGGATGCTTAGGGCCAGCACAGTGAGTTATCGCCATATTTATGCGATCTAGAAAACCTTCTCAAGGCACCTTTAAAGGTTCATGTACGTGTGGTTTGTCAGATGGTAAAAAAGTCCTGAGGCCTTGATCTGGACACTTGGCGAGAAAGTCGGTGAGAAATCCGGTGGCTATGGTTGGCCGGCGCCAAGGTCAAGAGCTGCCTTGGCCAATCACAGCCCCGAAATTTCTTGCCGACTTTTTCGCCATGTGTCCAGATTAGGGCCCCTGGCGTCGCGGCGACATGGCGAAGACATCGCGGCGCTCAGCACAGCTTTTTCGGGAACTCGTTGGCAGATGATATCACTTACATTGATCATAAAGCGGTGGTAGGCGTTAGGCGGCAGCACGAGGATATCGCCTTCGTTGAACTGGATGCGAACCCACTTGTCCTGGTAGTCCCGGATGTCGAAAAACGCCGTGCCTTCGGACATGAAGCGGACCTCCTCCTCCGGGTGGCGGTGCTCCTTAATAGGCTTCCCGACCTGCCGGGGATTAGGACATGGCATAAAACGTAAGCGTAGCATTTATAGGGAAGGCTACTAGGGCTTTCCCTATAAATATGGTCGGTGGTGACTTCACGCTGCTGACGTCACGGTTGTCACGCGGCGTCGTCAGCGTTTTAAAAGGTTCGCCGTGACGCCATCACGTGAGCACCGTGATGACGTCACGGTGTTCACGTGACGTCATTAGCGTGATGTTCATCACGTGACATCATGAAATCACGTGACACTGGTTTCCTAATGTCAGGTGACACCAAATTGTGATGTGGCACTCGTGAGGTGAACAAATTCACCCCCTAGCGTCCGCAGTGTCTCCTTGATATAGTGTAGGGAACTTTGCGAGATCATAGTATATATTTGAATTGTACTATGCATCGCAGCAAGCTATGCATCCCTCTGGACGGTTATCATTTGAGCCCAATCTCGTTCCGACCTTCTCGTTTGGACTTTCTCAAAAGGACCATTCTCAAAACGTCCTTCCCGGTTGGGCCCGCCGCATTTGGTACGTACGTTCTCGTTACATCTTTAGCATTTCATTCTCCAAGAAAGAAGCAAATGGGTACACTTCGAGGGGCCGGCGTTATGGCTTGGTCTCTGCGTATCCCCGAAAAAGCTTTGTCAAGTCCGCCCACCCGCTTGCCAACTCGTCTACAAGCACGCGCTTACATACACACGCGCACGTACTTTGGTTTTGCGGTTTGGCTAATGGTTCCTGGAATAGGTCTGTTCTACTCTTAAAAGATGCAACGTAGGTCAGGGCAGCGAAGGCCGGAACCCGCTCGTTAGCTTGTCCGGAAGTCGTCTCATACGATGGGTCATAAGCAGGTCATAACACACCGTACGGCTCCTTTGTGTCAAAGAAGGGCTTGGTACTCCCCCTTTTCCCTCGCCGCGGGAAGGTGCACTCGAAGTAGTTCCCCTCCACTCCAGACTGAGAACGGACTGAGAACGAACGTAGGTCGTGCCATGCGCTCGCACTGCGAACAGGACCAAATGCGAAAAAGACGGCTTTTATGTTTCCAGAAGGTTCGAACGAGGAGGTCCAAACGAGAATGGGACGAAATGAGAAAGGGCGTAATGTGAATGGGACGTTTTGAGATACATTCACCCCAGCAATCCCAAACTCCGTGACAATTTTACGCTAGCGGTTGGGATAGAACGCGAACGTTTGAGAACATGACGTCACCTGGGTCAAAAAATAATGTAGAAAAACTTAATTTTTGATGAGCCGGCGACAATTTAAGCCTATAATGTTATGTGGCACCAAACTAAACAATTAGACACGTTTACAACTTTTTGTAACGCCGAATTAGACCGCAACTCTTGAGGAGGAGGAGGGGAGGGCCAGGAGGGGAGGGTATGCCCCTCTGCTTCCCCGCTAAATTTAGCGGGGGAAATTTGCCGTTAAATTTAGTGGGAATTTTGGCAATGTTAGATGCATGTGACATCACGTGACGCCATACGTCACGTGTTTCCTATAATGACGTCACACGTGACGTGACGTGACGTGACTTGTGACGTCAGGAGGGTAACTGCTCAGACTGCGCCCGCAAAACACAGCGTTTTTGTAGGCAACAGCGGAAGCTCTGACGCAACATCATGCAAAGAAAGCCACTAAGAGCCACGACGTCAACACTTGACTGCTGTTTCAGTAAAATAACTTCGTTCTAAGAAAGACAAGATTCGCGGCGTTGGGGGAAGCTCAATTCCTCAATGATGATCTGCGTTGTATAGTTTGTAAGCACCAACAGCCATGTTGATCAAAACGGGGAATAAGTCAATGTCCGCGACTCTGACGTTACCATGCCAATTATGTGACGTGACAATGCGACCAGCCACGAGTACCTGCGAAATTCGGAAATTCGTTTATAATTGATTTCACAAATATTGGGGCGCCTTTTCATAAAATGAACACTGCGTCTTTCGATATTTAGGCCCTCTCTACATGACCAGAGCGAAAACTTGGTAACTTCTGGAAACCACCGGACAATCTTTTTAAAGCTCTTTAGGTTGGGCACTGCCATCTGGTGTGTGCACGTCGTCTGATAGTCCAGATTTGCTAAGGTGGGCAGACAAGTGTCATATTTCTGCAACAAAGCCTTTTCCCGCCATGGTAGGTGTAGTGCCACTAAATAAGCTACGCTTCAGAGTAACGACACTTGGCCATATTGTGGCTTAATATCATGGTTGTAAGTTATCTTAGGGTTTATCTAAAATCACAGGAAACGTTTTTCCGTCCTCAACAAATTATTATACAGTTCGCGATAGAGAAAAGCAATATTGCGTGAGCTTCCAACAGCGAATCTAATGCTGAAGAAGTCGCACTTTTGAATCGTGACGATCAACAGCTCCGTCTGCTCTGCGCAAGCACCAAAATGGCGGCGCCCACAACAATGTCGGGGAACAGGGTGCCGATACTCTAAGCGCAGCTCATTTAGTGACTCTAGGTAGGGGGATCGGTGGCCGAATGGGCTAGCGCAGACAAGCTCGGAGCACGTGGAGCGAAAACTCGGGCTGCAGAACCCAGGGAGCCTGGGTGTAATCTTTACCTGAAAAAGACGCGAGGAGTTGGTGGCGAGCGGACGTGTCTGTGAAGCGCTCTTCCATTCACCCTGCCCGCATTTATTTTTTTCTCTTCGAATACTTCGTCTTGCCCAAGCTAAGCGACGTACAGAACACCAAGGTTGTGCGGCTCGCAAGTTAGCGGGGCCGACCTTCTACAACTTCGGACCGGGGACAGCAGAGAACGCCAGCTACGCAGACGATGGCTACGCCAATTAAGTACAGCACAAGCACGATCCAGGCAGCAGAATACAAGGTCACGGCACCGGACGGCAACCCAGCCATGGCACTAGGATCGCCACACAACGAACCCGCTGCTAGCGACGAGAGATCTATTGGCACCGTGCCAGCAACGTAAGTAGTGCAGTCGCAAGAAAATCAAGGGATGTCTACAGCTTCGGCGAATGACATTCCTGCTCAAACCCAGACTTGTACGTAATCCGTTACAAGTAACGAAATTACTTATAATCCCTTACATTTATCAGTGATTTTGTAACGGAATAATTACATATTTTCTTGAGTATTTTTAAAGTAAATCCCTTACATTTTTGACGTAACGGATTCCTTCTAATCCGTTACATTTTTTTGTCAGAACCAACCCTCCCCCCCGCCCCCAATCTAAACAAAAGTTTTTTTCTTTTTATTTTTTTTTAAATTTTTTTAAAGTCGAGCGCAGTGACACTGTCACGCCAATTGACCAGCGCAAAGGGACGCTTGGCACTCTTCCGTTCCGCAAAACCTTTTTTTGCAACACCAAGCCCCTGAATCTATTATGTTTTTAGACCCTAACATGTCAATGTTAGGGTCAATTACCAAAAATAATTCACAAAAAAAGGGGGGGGGGGGGGGCAAGTTACTTGCGCTTTTTTTTTTAGTCCCTTTGTTTTTTCTTTGCGACCGAAGACGAGGAGAGGTGGATACCAAGTGATTGTGCGCCTCTTTGAGAAGCTCGAGGCGGTAAGTGCTTTGAAAAGAATTAACGATGTCCTTCTCGGATATCGTGACTACGACCATTTTCATAACGTCACAACAGGAGACAACGCTCAGTCTACCCTACCCTTTTTGTGAGTCAGCTTTTTGCAAGCATTTAGAAAATGGTAATAGTCTTCCTTTTTTCTCCTTCCTGTTTTGCCCCAGCAGCACGCATCTTATCTCAAGCAGATATTTTTACAATTAAAACGTAATGGTGGCTGACGTAGGCTTGATATTCTGGGCTTGAGGAAAGAGTGAAATTCGTGAGTGGGGCCATGGCGCGGCTTACTTAGTACTCCACACTTTGCTGCCCGTGGCATCAGTGGACGTCTATCTGGAGAACACCGAAGTAAACTGCAGTCGCTTCGTGCTCTGTGCGTTTTTGAACGGCACCAAGAAAGGTACACACGGCGAACGTGCGTTTACATTTCCCTGTTTTAACCGATGTTCTGATTAATTATTGTTATGAGTGTCCTTCTTTTTCTTTTATTACTTATATTTATATACTGGAAACATTTTTTTATTCACCAACCTCTCAGGTGAGGCTCGAGCTGTTCAGAACCAAAGAAAGAAGAGTGTCGAGCCAAACCTTATTTATTATTTAATTATCACCTTACTGTTACAACTGTGTTTTGCTATTGATGACTTCTACAGCTTCGTGATTTAGAGAATGAAGAATTTTAGTAGATCGGACCGATGACTCCGATAACAATATCCGATACTTCGCCGCCGTCTTATCGTATGCATGATATCGTTATCGGGTACCGTTATCGCGGGTATCGGAGGTATCGGAAGGATCTGCTAAAACTCTCGAATAGCAGGCAACGGCTGCAACGACGAAGCTTTGCCCTTCATTCGACGTAAATAGTACTTCCCCATGCTTCGCTGAAAAAGCTCAATACAGAGCATGAAGCATTCGTGAGGAACAATATGGCACTCCTATCCAGTGCCTCAGCTCAAATGGTGTTCAGCGTAGCAGTCGACATATGAGTAAGATATAATGCAAAATGTCTGACGAGACATTCGAGAGCCAGCTGTTGCTCAAAATACTCAAGGTCATTAAATGGAACAGGTGGCAATTAAGAATAAGAACTTGAATGACCCTCTTCCCTTTGTTTCTTACTTGAGGACAATAATGTTAAAAGTAAAGCCACGAAAGTAGCGGATTACTTTTTGGGGTAACGGTCAGTTACTTTCATGGGAGGGTAATTGTAATAGTAATAAATTACAATTTAGCCTTGCGTAATTGTAAATGTTATTCCTTACTATTTTTCAGTAACGTGTACAAGTCTGCTCAAACCTGCCTGGAGCAAATCAACACCTGCAGCAACGTCGTTGTATATAAAGTAAGTAACATTTATTTGAAAATTTGCCTCGAGAACAAGGGCGCCATCTCGAACTTCATCACAATGAAAGAACATTTCGATTACTTTATTCGAAACAAAGAA